CGTCACCGCCGTCACCGCTCGTCACCACCGTCACCGCCGTCACCGCTCGTCACCGCCGTCACCACCGTCACCGCTGTCACCACCGTCACCGCCGTCACCGCTGTCACCACCGTCACCGCCGTCACCGCCGTCACCGCTGTCACCGCCGTCACCACCGTCACCGCCGTCACCAGTGAGCCCACCGGTCGCGCCGGTCGCGGCAATGCGGGCGAGCGCGTCGGCCAGGGTGTCGCACGCAATGGTCGTGCCGGGCTGGTTGACTCGCGGGAGCGCGACGCACTCGGTGCCCGCCGCGCACTGGGTGATCTCCCACTGGCCGCTGACGCACTGCGCGAAGCCGGGCGTGCCGTTCTGCGTAATGCACGCCATCGTGTCATCTGTGTCCGTTCCGCCGTCAGTTCTGCGCGCTCGGTAGCGAAAGGGGATGATTAGGAGAACGCACCGTAGCAGGGGTCGCTCGCCGAGATGTTTTGGAACTGGGCGTTGAGCATCTGCGCGTCCAGGCCGTTCTGCAGCTGGAAGTCACCCGAGCCCGTCGAGTTGCCGCTGCTGCTGCCGCTGGACGACGATGATGGCGGCGCCGCAGTCGAAGTCGAAGCAGCGCTGCTGCCGCTGTCGCTGTCGCTCACAGCCGTCGGGGCCGCGGATGCAGAGAGAGCAAAGAGGAGAAGGGATGCAACAAATTTCATGGTGGCAGAGACCAATAGAAGAAAATGTGGGACGAGTGCAACTCGTGTTGGAAGTGAGAAAAAAGAAACGAGAGGAGAGTGTAGTGTACACACTGGCTCGACCTGGCTTAAATACAGCGATGTGATTCGTGCCATGGAGCATGCAGTGCGCAAAACGCAACCGCTACATGGAACATGTCGGGGGAGGCGAGACAATGGCCTGTTCGTCGAATGAAATGTACAGGATCATTGGCCGTTGGATTCCTTAACTTGATCAAGGGGCGGAGCGTGAGGCATAGCTCTCTGCGGAGATGTGGAGTTGAGGCTGGGATGCTGCTCCCGGGGAAAGACAGGTACTGTACCGCTAGTTCACGTCACCGTCACAGACTCCCGAGGTTGAACTGTCTATCACGGTCACAGAGGGTCTGGACGCTGCTACGAGGCGCACGCTTGAAAGCAAGCGCATGTTCTGATTGGCTGGACTGTGAACTGATCAGGTTTCGAACGTCACGCGTTACAAGGTGGAACTGTTGGTCGAAACGGTGTGAGTTTTGAAACTCACGCAAGTTTCAAAGTTCAAACCTCGCGTGAGTTCCGACATACCGGCCCAGTGACTCATGGCTGTCACAAGCCGGTAATGTCAGTGACACAGCACTTGTCCTTCAACGAGCGGGGAAAATAACGCACTGCCCGGATTAGTGTCCTCGTGAGGCAAGTAAATGGTGCGGTCGATGCCGCTGCTCCAGCGTGCCTAGAAAGCTCGGCAGAACGGCCAACGCGTATTGCATTACAGTAGTACGGGCCGCACTGGTGTAGTATAGGTCATCAATAAGAGATAGCTCGGAGGGTGGAAGGTGTGAGGTAACACATATTACAGGCACCTGGAGAAGCGATGATCAGGTCCAACAGGTCACTAGAGGGAACTCGCCCATAGGCCCTCGACGTACTTCTGTGCTTTTCTGGCCTCACAGGGATCGCTTCGCACCATGCGGAAAAACTTTCAACTAAGAGTCGGATTGTGAAATATACAAAATCCGGCCAAAAGTGTGAAACTGCAGTCGGTGATTTTTGTCCGTATAGGTAGTACCTGTTTCATACAAATATTACCTCTGAAGGCAATGCGCGCCGTCACGAACTGTAAGCGCACATTGTCGCGCTCCATCTCTCAGCTCAAAGTACTGCAGAACGACGTGCTCAGAGCACCTTTAAAAACATGCAGATACTTCCATAGCTACTCAAATATTAAAATACACCGCAAGTAATCTGAAGCCGAGGCACCGCACGCGCGCTTGGCGCAACAGTAGGCGTTGGTAGGCACGTTGTGTGCTCGCCTTCAGAGATTCCGTCTTACGGGTGCCAAGTTGAATGCGGGCGTTGCTATTAATAGCTTGCAGTAACCTATCGCAGAGCAAGCCTAGACACACAAAGTCCAGTGCGACGACGCGGTCGCTTTATGATCCTTGTGTGACTTTCTGTGACTATTCCAGCACTAAGTAAGGCGAATTTGTACGGAAAAAACACTCGGGCAAAATCACGGACTGTAGTTTGATATACGAACCAGCCTCGTCCGAGTCGTGTCCCATAGGCGCTTTCGCGCTCGTTGCTCTTGGCTTCCCTCACTATATCGTTGTATCCGCAGGATTTACCAACGGCATGCCCCCTCGTGGTAAGGAGAGAACAGTCAATTTGATGGAACAAGAGATGGGCCTTGAGCATGCCGACGGGAAGAAGGCCAAGCTCGTAGCAGAAGAAGAGAAGGGTGCTCAGAACACAACCGGACTGCTCTCGCTGCCTGTGGAAATCCTCGAGCAAATGTGCGAAGACTTGCTCAGTACCTCACGGCTTATCACGAAGAAGCAGGCGCTGGAAAGCGAGCCCCATCTGAACGAGGAGCTTGTGTATAGCACGGACGTCTTGCGGCCGCGCTGAGGGTCTCCTGTCTACAGAGATACTATGAGCGTGCTCTGGAGGCCTGCGCGATCCGCGGATCAAAGTTTTGGTATCGGCAGCCAGC